GTTGTAAAAAACATATCATATACATCTTTTAATGAACAGCACAGAGGTTTGCACTCAACTGTTCTTTGACATATACAGGATTAGGTCAGTATTCCAGAAATAACTCTGATCTTGCTAGTTTTAAAAGGAAACGATTTACAAAAGTAACTGATACTTAAGTTACTTTTTGGAAATCCAGCCCTTGCACCCTGCAGAATTTTTCAAATCAGCCTGTTGAGAGATGTTCCAAAAAACTCCAGAGCAGGTGGGACTTGAACCAGGGCCTCCTGGCTCAGCGGTAAGAACACTACCTCTGGGCGACAAGAATCCCATTTGCACCATATATTGAATAAAGGTGTGTCCAATGACAATATCAGCAGATATCATTTTAACTTCTTCTCCCAAAGGACAACATGGATTTAAAGGGAAATTTCACAGCATAAGCATCCTATAAATTTCAGTGTTCATCGTAACATGAAAATATTTGGGACAAATAGAAACATAGAAAATAGGTGCAGGAGTAGGCCATTCAGCCCTTCGAGCACTACCATTCAATATAATCATGGCTGATCATGCAATTTCAATAACCCACTCCCACCCTCTCCCCGTACCCCTTGATCCCCTGTAGCAGCAAGGGCCATGTCCAGCTCCGTCTTGAATATATCTAATGAACTGGCCCCAACAGTTTCCTGTGGGAGAGAATTCCACAGGTTCACAACTTTCAGAGTGAAGAAATTCTTCCTCATCTCAGTCCTGAATGGCTGACCCCTTATTTTTAGACTGTGACCCCTATTGACGTGGATAGAGAACTGGTCGGGAGACAGGAAGCAGAGAGTTGGAATAAACTCCTTTTTAGAAAGAGGCAGGCAGTAACAAGTGGGGTACCACAGGGTTCAGTGCTGGGACCCCAGGTGTTCACAGTACACATTAATGATTTGGATGAAGAAATTGAATGCAATATCTCCAAATTTGCAGATGACACCAAACTGGGTGGAAGTGTGTGCTGTGAGGAAGATGCTAAATGGCTGCAGGGTGACTTGGACAGGCTGGCTGAATCGGCAAATATTTCTTCCCGCATCTGGCCTGTCCAGTCCCATCAGGATTTTATATGTTTCTATGAGAATCCCCCTTCGTTCTTATAAATTCCAGCAAGTACAAGCCAAGTCAATGCAGTCTCTCCTCATATATCAGTCTTGCCATCCTGGGAATCAATCTGGTGAACTGTCACTGGACTCCCTCAATAGCAAGAATGTCCTTCCTCAGACTAGGAGACCAAAACTGCACACAATACTCATGGTGTGGCCTCACCAAGGCCCTGTATAACTGCAGCAAGACATCCCTACTCCGATACTTGATTCCTGTCACTATGAAGGCCAGCATGCCATTAGCTTTCCTCACCTCCTGCTGCTTCTGCATGCAACCCTTCAGTGACTGTTCCACCATGGCATCCAGGTCTGGTTGCATCTCACCTTCTCCTAAACTGCCACCATTCAGATAATAATCTGCCTTCTTGTTTTTGCCACCAAAGTGGAATCTCATGTTTATCCAGATTATATTGCATTTGCCAAATATTTACCAACTCAGCCAGAATGTCCAAGTCACCCTGCAGCCATTTAGCATCTTCCTCACAGCACACACTGCCATCCAGCTTAGTGTCATCTGCAAATTTGAAGATATTGCATTCAATGTCTTTGTCCAAATCATGAATGTATATTGTGAACACCTGGGGTTCCAGCACTTATTGCTTGTCTGTCTCTAAAAAGAACCCATTTATTCCAACTCGCTGCTTCCTGTCTACCAACCAGTTCTCTATCCACGTCAATACATTACCTCCGACACCGTGAGCTTTGATTCCGCTTACTAATCTCTTGCGTGGGACCTTGTCAAAAGCCTTTTGAAAGTCCGGATACATAACATCGAATGATTCACCCTTGTCCACTATATTGGTCACATCCTCAAAAAATTTCCAGAAGATTTGTCAAGAATGATTTGCCTTTAGTGAATCCACACTGACTATGACCAATTTTGTCGCTGCTTCCCAAATGTTCAGTTACTACATCCTTAATAATTGATTCTAGCATTTTCCCCACCACCGATGTCAGGCTAACCGGACTATAAATCCACATTTTCTCTCTCCCTCCATTTGTTTTTAAAAGCGAGGTTACATTAGCTACCCTTCAATCCATTGGTACCCTTCCAGAATCTATAGAAAATGATCACCAATACTTTCACTATTTCTAGGACCATTTCCTTAAGTACTCAGGGATGCAGAGCATTAGGACCTGGGGCCTTATCAGGTTTTAATCCCACCATTTTTCCCAATACCATTTCTTGACTAATAAGAATTTCCTTCAGTTCCTCCTTTATGCTTGACCCTTTGTCCCTTAGCATTTCCTGAAGGTTATTTGTGTTCTCCTTAGTGAAGACAGATCCAAAGTATTTGTTCAACTGGTCTGCCATCTCTTTCTTACACCATTATGAATTCACCCGATTCTAACTGCAAGGGACCTGGGCGTGTCTTCACCAGTCTTCAACAAAGAGATTGGGCAACTGTGGACAAATTTTAATCAATATTTTGATTACTGTTTTTAGTTTATGTTCCTTAAAACAGATGTGCAAAATCCTTTAAAATTACTTGTTTTAAATTAGATATTTTGTAATCAGCCTGAACAGAGATATTCCTACACACCTCTGGAGCAGGTGAGACTTGAACCTGAGCCTACCCTAGTACCTATGCTAGTTTTTTCTTAATTGTGATAGAATCCAGTGAATGACAGAAGGAAAATGCTGCCACCTGCTGGGTGGTTTATAGATAATGCAGTTTGAAATGGTATACTGAAAGAATGAGACTGCAGGAACTGCCGATGCTGGAGAATCTGAGATAACAAGGTGTAGAGCTGGATGAACACAGCAGGCCAAGCAGCATCAGAGGCGCAGGAAAGCTGACGTTTCGGGTCTGGACCCATCTTTTCTGAAGAACGTCAGCTTTCCTGCTCCTCTGATGCTGCTTGGCCTGCTGTGTTCATCCAGCTCTACACCTTGCTATCTACTGAAAGAATGATCTGACGTTGTTGTGTGACGTTGGAATGACAGGAAAGTGTCTCTTAAACTGATTCTGCACTTTTAGTGGCTTATATTATGAGGGCAACATTTTCAATTCAAGACGCAAGTACTTTGGAAGATCATGACTAACCATAGTTTTGGGACTACTCAGTCAGCTCCATAGGCAGTTGTAAAGTGAACACTTGTGAAAATTATAGCACTTGTGTTTGCAAATTACACTATAAATTGGGAAGCCATTAAAATATCCCAGAGCATCATGTGAAATTCTCTGAAACTACATTCAACCCATCCTTTTTAAAGTGTGCCAGCTGTTTTGGGTTGTTATGAGGAAAGATAAATGCAAGTTAGAGATAGTAAGAACTGCCGATGCTGAAGTCAGAGATAACACAGTGTGGAGCTGGTGGAACACAGCAGGCCGGGCAGCATCAGAGGAGCAGGAAAGTTGACGTTTCAGGTCGGGACCCTTCTTCAGAAAATCTCCACACGGTGTTATCTTATAAATGCAAGTTAGACCTGTTTTCTCTAGAATTTAGAAGGTTAAGGGTGACCTGATCGAAGTTGCCATGATATTAACAGGAAAAGACACAGTAGATTAAGATAAACAATTTCCACTGTTTGGGAACTCTAGAACTAGGAGGCAAAGTCAGAAATTAGGGTTAGACTGTTCAGGAGAGATGTTAGGACGTACTCCTACAAGATTGCACCACTTAAGAGGCATTTAGACAGATACCTGAACAGGCAGGGAATATAAGGATTCAGACCATGTATAGGAAGATGCATTTAGTTTAGTTTCGGACAATGCCACCTTCCAAATCAGCGCAGCTGACACGGATTGCTTTTTCCATGACCATGGTTTCCCATCCACTGTGGTTGACAGGCCCCTCAACTATATCTGACCAATCACCTATGCTTGCCTACATGTCTGTCCTTGGCATGCTGCAGTGCTCCAGTGAATCACAGTGCAAACTGGAGGAACAACATCTTATGTAGAAACGCATCCGCCCTTTAGGAAAAGGAATGGATGCTCCAGTTTCCTCCCACAGCCCAAAGATGTGCAGGCTAGTTGGATTAGCCATGCTAAATTGCCCGTAGTGTTTAGGAATGTGTAGATTAGGTGGGTTATAGGCCTCTCTGCTCCTATGATGCTGTTTGGCCTGCTGTGTTCATCCAGCCCTGCACCTTGTTGTCTGGGTTATAGGGGGAATTGGTCTGGGTGGGATGCTCTGAAGTCGGTGTGGGCTTGTTGGGCCGAAGGGCCTGTTTCCACACTGCAGGGATTCAATGAAGTCAATTCAAAAAAATCTCCAGACTAGGCATTTTACAGCCTTCTGGACTTAACACCTTCAAATCGTGAATCATTTCTTCCCTTTCTTTTAGCTTGTTACATTCTGTCATCACGTTGTCTCTCCCCTCCTCCCACCCCAGTGACTCTATCTGTTCTTTCCAGTCTGGCAGTTAGACACACCATCATTCTGCCATTCTCACGTTCCGTTCACTTAATCTGAACTATCAGCAGCCTTTCTCCACCAGCACTCTACACCCACTACCCATCCCACAGGCCCCATCCCAAACTACAGCACAAATTGCGGTCCCCTTCACACTCTGATAAAGAGTCATCTAGATTCGAGACGTTAGCTTGCTCCCTCTCCAAGGATGCTATCTGACCCCCTGTGATTTCCAGCACATATTATTTTCAGTACAGATTCCAGCATCTGTAGTAATTGCTCCTGTTTCTAGTCCTCCGCAGCACCAGGGGGCGCAATAAACCCCAAGTCCTCCACAGCACCAGGGGGCGCAGTAAATCCCAAATCCTCCACAGCACCAGGGGGCGCGGTAAACCCGCCTCCCGTCTCTAG